GATGTAGTTCATCAGGGGTGGTTAGCGGTTGGGGGACTGGTTTCTGTAAGGCTTCTTCATTCACTGAGGAAACCTTGTTAGTCTCTTTGGGTTCATTTTCTTCATGCTTAGGACTAGGGTCAAATTGAGGAGTGGTTCGGTCACACCCTGGGTGTGGTGAGAGACTAGGCTCAGACCATACTTGGTCATGGCTCTAGGACATAGCAGCACAAGCACTTCGCCGCTCTCTACACTGAACTCAATTGTTCTGACTGAGTCCAATAGGAGAGAGTCAATTCATAAGGGGTCGTAAGTTGTTCCTTCCATTTCCGGAGGGCTTTTCAGGAGGTCTATGGATTTGTTGATTTCCCTTGTGATGTTTCCCAACGGTGGTGACTGGTTCTTCTCTACTGGAGCAGAAGGAGATGGATTTTGATAGGTTTGGGGCTCGACTCTCACAAATACTAGAGACGTTGTTGGGTCCTCCATTCTCGGTCCTAGGAAGAAGGGGATTGATTGGAATGCTTGGGAGATTAGATTGTTGAGCATTAGTGGGTCCAGATTGGGTTTCATGTTACCATTGCTTGTCATCGCCTGCCATAGGCATGGGCCAAAGGCTACCAAGGCCCTATTGAGGACTTCCACCGTTACCCTCGCCAGATGTGCAGGGTTTTGGACAATTAGGGTTACTGGTTGATTTTCCAGGGTAAAATTGTAGGCTAGTCCTTGTCCTTGAAGCACCACTTCCAGCCATGATGTCGGTGAGTGGTTCGGCGGCAGTGGAATCGACGTCAAAATGGTGGGTGGCAGCTGGTTGTTTTCCATTTTTATGCTTTTTTGTTTACTTCTTTGGGTAATGGTGGGGGTTATGTTAATGAGCTGGCTCATAATGGCGTAGTTTGGTGTCAAATCTAGGTCAGTAGAAAGGTCATCGGGTAATACACCTAGAGAAATGGATTCAAAATTAATGTGGTATCTGTTTGAGTAGACGGAAGGTGTCATTTCACCTGAGATTGGGTGGGTTCTCAAGTGAGGCACTTGAGTGTTCATGGAGTGTGGTGAGTTTTCCCCATTAGAGTACTCTGCTAGGAGAGGAGTAGGGGACACATAGGTATTTAGGTAAGGGTAATTATTTGGGCTGGGTGCTTCCGATTGGGTATGGACCTCAATTGATTTGGTATTGGCTTGGTGGCCCAAGGCCACAATTTTAGTAGTGTATGCGCCTGAGGTTAGGCTATTGATAGGGGCTTCCTTGTAGGCATCATTAACGGGCTTAGTTGGATTTTTGGTGTCAACTCCATCATGACCAATTCCCGTCTTGCATTTGGCGATGTACTTGGGCTGGGGCCTCATGTGTTGGGATACTAGGGAGTGGGGATGGTATTTAATTTATTCACAGGGCCACTAGGCCTATTGTAATTTTTGGACTGCATATTATTGGACTTAGAATTATATTTAAAATTTTTGGTTTCCAGAAACTTACCAGAGTTTGCATCGAACATTTTTACCTAGATCTTTTGTGATTTTAGTGCATGAGGCTGATTGTTTTCGTTTCCGTTGTTCCTTCCCTTCATCGTTTGTTGACTTTTTTTCTTTCGTCTAGGGAAGATGACTATCTTCCATCTATTGTCCTCCCCTTCCTTGGTGTTATCCCTGAATTTTCAGGGGCTTCTTGTGACAGCGATGGTTGGAATCTTTTAAAATTACAACTTTTTGTTATGGGACTAATTCTTCCAAATGTTATACATAATGTGCCTTCACATTCATAAATCACTGCTTGCTTACGGTCACTAATGATTACTGATGTTTCCACTGGGGTTTCTAAGGTACTTGGACACAGATGCATGAATATCTTCCTCTCAACATGGAAGAGGTGCATGAATCAATTTTGAGTAATTTGCCTAGTTTCCTACCAAATTGTTTCAATATTTCTTTGTAGTAAAATTATGTTGGTAGTTGGGGTAGGACAATCCATATGGATGTGGAAGAGAGAGAGTAGCTTTTTGTGGGACAAATTTTGGTTCCCATTTACGTACTGATAGGAAATTCCCAGAGATGAACCATGGCCCTAGGTGTAGTGCCTTACCCATATTTTCCTCTAGACCGAATTTGACAATGAAGAAGTCCCATCCTAGGACAATCAAGATTAACTGTTCGGATGATTTTTATAGATCAATTAGTTTAGATCGAAGGTAATGGTAAGACATTCTATGACCAAAGACCTTTATGATAACTGAGAAGCGCCATGGTTAATATAGGTGGTTCTTGTTGTCTTGTGAGAAGACGATTGAGCCTTCAATATTTTTTCCTTTATCATCTTTGGTGACTGGGGTGATTCTCATCATAGTACTCCATTTGGCTTTTTGCCTGCTTGTCAAGTAGCTTTTCCTTATAGGAATGTGGTATTGTTTCTTCTACATTAATTTGACTATTCTTGTCCAGTGGTATAATTGGCGGTGTGGTGGTTGTGTCCATGTAGGTATTTTTAGAGAAGGGTTAGAGTTTCTCTATCTAAGATTTCTTCTGGAGGAAGCTATCACAATTGAACGGATCTAGTTTTGATATTAAAGCAACCTAAACGCTTAAACTAATAAGCATATGTAATTAACTGTGTCGTTGAAAATTAATATATATTATGGCTAAGAATAATATTATCGTACCATATTAGGGCTGGGCATATATCGGGGGAAGCACACAGTTAGCCGCTAATTAGAACTGTATTTACTCTTAAACCACTATTTAAAATGTATTTACTCTTTAGCCAGTGCTTTGATAATTTTTACCTGCCCGGACGAAAATACCCCTATGCTAGACATGGTGTCCTTAGCTTTATGAATGTTGTATAAATATTAAGGACAAAGTGTCATGAATTAGCACCTTCTGTTTTAAACTTTAGGACATCATGTCTTTAACTTCATATGTGCAGTGTAAATGTTAAGGACATGATGTCCTTAACTTCATGAGTGCTGTGTAAATATTTAGGACATCATATCCTTAACTTCATACATATAGTGTAAATGCTAAGGACATAGTGTCCTTAACTTCTTATTGTGTAAATATTAAGGACGTGGTATCCTTAACTTTATGAGTGTTGTATAAATATTAAGGACAAAGTGTCATGAATTAGCACCTTCTGTTTTAAACTTTAGGACATCATGTCTTTAACTTCATATGTGCAGTGTAAATGTTAAGGACATGATGTCCTTAACTTCATGAGTGCTGTGTAAATATTTAGGACATCATATCCTTAACTTCATACATATAGTGTAAATGCTAAGGACATAGTGTCCTTAACTTCTTATTGTGTAAATATTAAGGACGTGGTATCCTTAACTTTATGAGTGTTGTATAAATATTAAGGACAAAATGTCCTGTATTTGCACCTTCTGTTGTTAAACTTTAAGACATCATATCCTTAACTTCATGAGTGTTGTGTAAATATTAGAACAAAATGCCCTTAATATTTACACAACACTCATAAAATAGGGTAAAACCGTCTTTTCATATTAATTTTAATAGAGTAGTGGCTATTTTTGCACACATTAAAAATACTTAATAAAGCTAAATACCACTTTAAAAAGGGGTTACCCCACGCTATAGGGGTATAACCGATAGCACGAACCGATAAAATACTATTGGTTATCGATATTGAGTTATTGGGTAAATAGTTCGATAACGATTTAATGTTATTTGACTATTAAGTTATCGGTTCAGGTTTCAGTTTGCCCAATTTTATTAATGGTTTAACCGATGGCCCAATAAGGTTTAACAAAATTATAATTTTACTCACTATGTATATAAAGCCACCTTATGGCTTCATTGTTTCATTCTCTCAATATCTCTATGCAGTTACTCTTCATCTTCAAACCCTAATTCTTAGAGTAAGTTTTAAACTTTTCTGAATTTCTCATTTTAATTCTTCAATTAAAAATTTTTAGTTCTAAACTTTAAAAGAATTAATTGTTCAATAGATTTTTAGTTTTTCTATTTGTTTCTTTTGTAACACTAATTCTTGAGTATTTATAAGAATAGGATTTTATTATTTTCATGTGAATTATGCCCGCCCACAGCGAGAAAGTTAGTAAGATTAGATTGTAGAATGTCTTGTTCCTTACTCCTACTAACTTATAACTTTGAAAATTAGATCATTCATTAGGATTTTCAAATGTAAGGAAAGTTTTCTTTTTCTAAAGTTGCAATTTAATCCCTCTTTTCTTAGGAGCAAATATTCAGTTCCTTTCTCTTAACAATATGATCACAGTTTCTATAATAAAATATGAAATTTTTGGATATTTTTTATTTTTATTGGGTAAACCGATAAGGATCGATAACCGACTAAACGATACCCGATAACCGATATCTTATCGATTCGGTTATCAGTTTAGCATATTTAAAACTAATAACCGATATGCCGAATAAATAAATTCACAATCAACCGAACCAACCGATGCCCATTCCCAAATTAGCAATTTTAGGGAGAAAATATTGGATTCAGCCATAATTTAGAAAACTTGTCGAGGACAATTATACTAATGTTAGTTATGTTTTATAAATATTAATCTTGTTAATGCCATTCATTTATTTGCTTCTTTAGATGTTAACGCCACTTGCAAAAATTCAATTTTATCTGTCGTCCAAAAAGCATGAGTTCAACCAATTTCTATTCTTTCTTATATAATCACTCTATATTGGGGTACCACCGAAGGATGTGATGCAGTGGATGAGACTGCTCTTCACTTAACCAGAGGTATAGAGTTCGAGCCTTATGCGCGTGAATTCGGATATAGTCGGGCTTCAATGTGGGTACGGGACACCGAACACCGAACGAGAAATCAAAAAAAAAACTTTATATTGGGGGGTATTTCTTATTCTTTTTTCTTTATTTTCTGACGACCCGAGATTCTTTCTTTATCTTTTTTACTTTTACACAACGAAACGAAGTACATATTATTGCTTAAATGCAATCCAAAGACGATTAATTGACCATTACATAAAATACTTGAAAACTGCTCCATCATTGCTCAAAAGAAATTCAAAACTCTTCCATTTCATTTTTGTATACACTGCTTCCAAGGGGAAGAACATATAAAGAAAGAAAGAAAGAAAGAAAGAACAAAATGGTAAGTATTGAAGAAGAACAAAACAACACATCTATGTTGCTAGCACTCTCCAAAAATATTGTCGTTCCTTTATCGAATTCTCTAAAAATATATTTGGAGGTTCGGATATGTTGCACTCCGTAACATTTTTAAAGAGTCCGAGTAATATTGTGTAAATATTACATTTAGAGGATCCAACATGTTACGTTGGCAACATTTTTGAAAAGTCCGAGCAATATTGTGTAAATGATAGGTAGCTAGAAGAAGGAGAAGTTGTTAAATCTAAAAGAAGAGTAAGAAGCAGAAGCAGCGTAAGCCTGAAGAAGTTCATTTTGAGCAGACCAGAAATCTGCTTTAAGACCACCTCGTCTTATTGCTTTTAGTATTTTGTTCTTGTGAGCATACCCTATCACCACAACTTTTTGACTGTTACCATCCACTTCCACTTTCTCTATTCCTGGAATTTTTCCCCACAAATATATCAATTTGAATTGCCTTATAGTAGGAAATTTGATCAAGAGAGAAATTAATGAACTGAATAATTAATGATTAATTACCTCTTAATTTTGACAGGCATTTACGCAGTCTTTTCTCATGTATTCCAACCATATCTACTTTCAATTCAACTGTCTGGCAAAAGGGAAAAAACCCAGATATTCATGCAAATTAATTAGTTTATTATAGCATCAAATGAAGAACTAGCTAGATCAATTGTTACAAGTGGCAAAAAATAAGAGAACAATTTATGATTATAAAATAACACGTATTGGCTGTTGTTATCAAGAAATAATCAAACACGCAACAATACATAACTATATACGTATCAAATATTCCAAACAAGTTAATCAACGTTGATCGCTTCATATTTATGTGTTCATCTAAGCAACTTTCACTTCCAACCAAGAGGTTGTGAGTTCGAGTCTCCCCAAGAGCAAGGTGGGGAGTTCTTGGAGGAAAGGATGCCGAGGGTCTATTTGGAAACAGCCTCTCTACCTCAAGGTAGGGGTAAGGTCTGCGTACACACTACCCTGCCCAGACCCCACTAAGTGGGATTATACCGGGTTGTTGTTATTGTTGATGATCTAAAACCAATAACAACAACCTATCCAATGTAAAGAGAAAGGAGGAAAAAGATATGCTAGTGTACAAACCTCCATGTTCATGGTATGAGAGGTGATGGACCAATCGAGTGGCTAATTAAGCAAATAAATGGACAGACAAGTAACAAAGAGGAAAGGATGATATATATTGATCGATGACACAATGAGGAATATGTATGCTAGAAAATGGTAAAAGGAATAATAATGGATAAAAGACATTGCAAGAGGCAACTTATATATATGTGTGAATAAGGAAGAAAGAAAAAGTTGGGGGAAGGGAATAAACATAGAGCAAAGTGAATCTTGGTGATGGGAATGAACTGCTTTCTTTGATTTGCTTTATCAAAAGGATCAGTAGATTGCAAGTTAACGATGAGGATTCAAACAAGGAAAACCAAGAAACAAGAAATGTGATATACATACACACTTGGTATAATCGGACAAGTTTTATTTTGTGTCTCGTACAACTTACACTAGTTGCATGAGGCTCTTTTTTGTCTTACAAATTTTTGGACCCCAATCTTATACTTCTGGGTTCATAAAATTGTGAGATAAAAAATTACCTCATACAACTAGCGTCAGTTGTACGAGACACAAAATAAATTTTTTCGTATAATCGAGTTCCACATCAAGACTTTTAATTTCTACTGTTACTAATATTATTATACGACAAATTAAATGACATGGCAGTAAAAGCTCGAAGTTCAAAGCTCCCCTCTGATCTGCCTACACTAAAGCAATGTGGGCGTTAAGAAGCATTCCCAATGATTGGCCTTTGACGAGTCCAACTTATCTTTTCCTCTTTCTCTCTTTTTTTGGTTTTGTCTTTAGAATTTGCTATGTGAGTTACAACAACAACAACAACCCAGTATAATCCCATTTAGTGGGGTCTGGGGAGGGTAGTGTGTACGCAGACCTTACCCCTACTCTAGGGTAGAGAGACTGTTTCCAAATAGACCCCCGGCATCCTTCCCTCCAAGAACTTCCCACCTTGCTCTTGGGGAGACTCGAACTCATAACCTCTCGGTTGGAAGTGGGGGTTGCTTACCATCAGAGCAACCCCTCTCGGTTGGAAGTGGGAGTTACAAAAATAACATATTCGTGTATTCCTACGAGTAGGGTATAGGAATGCTAGTATATATACAAATCTTAATCTTATCTTGTGAAGGTAAAGATATTGTTTTCGGTAGACTGTCGGCTCAAGAAAAGCACAATCACATCAGTAATGACAACAACCAGAAAAATAATAGAACCGAAGCAAACGAAATACTATGAGTTAGTATCTTTCTTAATTAACCAGTGATTTCTCTTTGTGGGGAGAGAAAAAAAAGAGGAAATGAAAGCTGCCAAGCGGATCTTCGGAAATAAACTACAAGAGACAAGTTTGATTGCATAATATTATACACAACTTTAGTTTGGATTACAAAACAATAAATGTACGTAATGGGAATAATGGAATATCGAAGTATTCATGTTCATAGTTTCGAACAAGATCAATCTTATTTAATTTAAAACATGTGATTGTTCTACCTTAAACATCATGACTTTGAAAAGACAATATGTCCATTGGTCATGTTTGGACATAATGCGACAGGAGAAAAGTTATATGTGCAGGAAAATGGAAGATCCCATTGTGTCTTTCAATACTCCCTTCGTTCCAAAATAAGTGATTTTTTGGCATTTTTCTTATGGTCCAAAATAAGTGATTTTTCCAGATTTCAAGAATGAATTAATTACTTTTTTCCTATATTGTCCTTGGAGTAAATAATGTTGGAATATGTGTTAGGAGTATTTATGTGAAATAGTAAAGGTTAATATGGTCAATTTCATTGCTAAATTAATGTTAAAAGGTGGATTTCTTAATATGTGTGAAAACATCCAAAAATCACTTATTTTGGACCGGAGGGAGTATCAAGTAAATGTGTGAGGATTGTTTGGAATTAACTCTATAAATAGGAATCCAATCTTGATCTCTGGGTTTTTTTGTTTTAAAATTCATTTCTTTTGGTCAATGAGCTTTGTTTTTTTTTTTTCCCTTTCTTGATCACATTCCATGTCCTCGGGAATTTCAACATTTGCTTTGTTCAATATGAAATACGTTTTCAATCTCATTTTTAATTGAAGATTTGATTTCTTGTCTCTTCATTTGCTTTCCTTTCGTTTTTATGGTCAAGCAATCTTGAAACAAACATATTAGTCTTCGTTTGACAACTTTTAAGAGCCATAATTGTAATTTGTAAATTTTAATTTATAATCGTATATAGCTCAGTTCAAATGTTAACTTGGATGACAATTAAGAAGAAACAATGCAATGAATATATAATTAACGAGCATTAAAAATTAGTATAACATATGGCTTAGTTGGATTAAACTTGTTTAAGTATAGAGTAGTGACAAATACAAACAAGGAAAGTGCAATTTGATACTCAACATTTAATATTGAGTGCGAAATTATCTTTCATACAAGAAGGATGGGTGGAAATGAGTTAATATGGTGAAGAGTTAGATTTGCTTCACTCTCCTGGAAAAGAAACCAAATTTGGGTCTATCAAATAACCATTTAGTCCTTTTATTTTCTACTAGTATTAGTACCCGCGCGATGCGCGAATAATTAAAAAGAACGATCTACACCATAAAATTTAATATGTTAGTGCTAATACCATCTTTACAACCAAACATTAAAAACATTTTAAGACTCCAGTAAAACTTTCATTCCATCTCCTAATAAATGTTCCATAAAAAATAATGATACTATACAATTTGTTTGATATGAATGTTCCACAAAAAATAATGATGCTATACAATTTGCTTGATATGTAGCACGTGCCTAAGGGAACATTTTTGTAGCAAATGCTCATTACATATTGCAGTGCATTTTTCAGAAGTTGTCCTCAGTATTGAGGTTTATCACTACAAAAAAATATGAGTAAAAACTCAAGAATTTCCGGTAAACCCCTGTCACTAACTTTTTGGAAAATTGAAAATCTAATTATGCGTAAGATACCTTACATTTCCTAATGCTTGTATTGAAAGTACGAAAATCTCAATAGTTGCATGAATTCGATCTCCCTAAAATAAAAAATTTGAAAAGAAATTTAAGTTAGTAAGGCGCATAAGTTGAAGAAAATACATCACAACTCGAAAAAAATAACATGTAAAAGAGTATGTACCTTTTCATCTTGAATAATTAATTCAATTAAATTAAAATTTTCTAGTTTCTCGCGATCTGGAATGTGTCATAATCTAACAACACGACCCTTTAAATTCCAACTAATTTTGGACATTAATATTTCGCTGATATAGTTATAGTTTGGAGCTATACTTTGCAGAAGTTTGTGTGGAAGCTAAACCCTAAGTAATGTAGAGAAGCCAAACATAAGCAAAAGTTGNTATGAATTCGATCTCCCTAAAATAAAAAAAAATTGAAAAGAAATTTAAATTAGTAAGGCGCATAAGTTGAAGAAAATACATCACAACTCGAAAAAAATAACATGTAAAAGAGTATGTACCTTTTCATCTTGAATAATTAATTCAATTAAATTAGAATTTTCTAGTTTCTCGCGATCTGGAATGTGTCATAATCTAACAACACGACCCTTTAAATTCCAACTCATTTTGGACATTAATATTTCGCTGATATAGTTATAGTTTGGAGCTATACTTTGCAGAAGTTTGTGTGGAAGCTAAACCCTAAGTAATGTAGAGAAGCCAAACATAAGCAAAAGTTGTTTAAATAAAGATTCCTAAGGAAAGACAATCTAGTAAATCAATTTTTAAGTATATGAAATCCTAATTTTTAAAAAGGTATGTGTAAATCAATTTGTATGAGTGAGTGCGCAAAAAATGATATGGATCTTCTTTTTTTAGCTTTTAGCTTATTTTAATTTTCAACATTTTTTTTGTGGTTAATTAAAATTTGTTAACCACCAAGCCTTAATTTTTCTTGTCTTTTTCCTTTGTCCTCTTGTTTATTTTTTAATATTATTTCCTTTAATATAATATAGATGTAAGATACAAAATATTTATTTAATTATTTCTCTCTTAAAAAAGAATACCTACAATAACTGAATTATACACAAAATTTAATTAAAAATATCTATAATAATGTATATTGTTCGTAAATAAGGTCAGATACAAAGCTTGTACTAAATATAGAATTATTATTTCAACTTAAAATTAATGTGTAAGATACAAAACGAAATTTTAATTGATTCTTTCTAAAAAAAAAAGGATACCTACCATAACTGAATTATACACAAAATTTAATTAAAGATACCTATAATCATAGTATATTGGTCTGCTTAATGAAAATTATGTCTTTTTTTTGTGTGTACGACCAAAAGATTCTACTTTGATCATTAAAAAGAGAATATTTTAGTTTAATTAATTCTTTCTTAAATTTTTCAGTCTATTTTTAGCATAATATAGACGTAA